GAGGGGAGGGGAGGGGAGAGGGAGAGGGAGCACACACCAGGGTCCTGACCACAGGGGTAGCCAAGTAGTTCCTAAAGCCATTCTTCCTCACTGATCACCAAGTTAAATGAGCCATTAAATTCTTTCTTTTCCTTAAGCTTGTTGGGAGAGTATTTTCTTTTGCCTCTCACAACAAAATCCTAATCAATATTATGTTCACATCATTTATTTTGAACATACCTTCTTGTGAATTTTTGTCTTATGTTATATCTTAAATTATAACTATGTAATTGCCTACATCATAGATTCTCAGCTGTGTTCACAGGCCATGGATACCTACATTATTATCATTCATATTATTTAGCATGTTCTACTCATATTTAGATATCTTGTTTCCCCTATTAATTTTATTTCTTTATTGTATTCTCACACTTATAAATATATATTATATTTATAACTTAATGGGGTTGCTAGGAATTATCACATATATACATGGGTAAGCAATGGATAAACATATTCCAGAACAGAACATACTTCATCCACATGCAATTAGACTAGTTTGCTTAGATTCTGAGGTCCCATGTCTTACTTCCTTCTGCCTTTTGACCCACCCGCAAAATGAGCACATGTTTTCACCTCTCTCCTCTGTAAAACTGGTAAGAATATGGCCTGTTTCACAGAGTTGCTGTGGACCTTAAATACACAGTTTGAGTGTATGACACAACATGGGCATTGAGGAGTTTGGTTCTTCCTACTGTTAGCATGGTTGAAAGCGCAGCTCCAACCCCGAAGATTATTATAGTCCTCCTTCATTAACTCAGCTCTCTTCTAATTCTACCAGAAATGAATGGGGAAGGAGTTTTGTTGGTTGAACCTGGGACAGGAGCTTCTCCACTAAAAATGCAATGTCCACAGTTGTTCACACTTCAGCTTTCATCAGCAGCATTAGCTCAAACTTCCCTACTCTTCATTGCTTTGGGACTTGCTGGGGAAAAAAAGGAAATCATTAAACTCTCTGCAATGTGAAGTGGCTTTGCAAAGTGCACTGTAAACTGTTTACATTGTCTTTAATTACTTCGGAGCCATATGTCAGCTTGGTATAAAGTGTGAAGATTACACTGAATAGGGTGGGGGGGAGTCGGTGACAATGTGGTGATTTATGGTAACTAGAAAAATTATGTATGGAAATGAGCACAATTTAAAAACACATCTACGTGCTATTATAACACTGGAGGGGGAAGAAAAGCCAGTTTATAACAAAATACCTTTGAAAATAGGAGCATGATGAATATGTAAATGAGACCAATCAACATCAGCTGAGATATGGTATATGCAGATTAGGCGGCAGTGAGCCAAAATGTGAAATAGCTCCCAAACCATAAATATGAACCATATAAAATCATTTGAAATATTCATGGTAACATAAGGACAAAAAATATAATCAAGTGATTTACTTGCATATAAAAATGAGAACACTAGTCTGACACTTCAGCCTCCACATCCAGATCACTGGGGAAAGTTGTCTTAACTGAGAGATTTTAGAGGAAGAAACTAAATGAGAGCTGTTTCAAGCATATTCAGAAAGTTGCAGATTCTCCCAACACTTAGTTTTTTGGGTCCACTCAGTACAGATAAAAGGAAAGCAAGTCAGATAACTCTAATAGGGCTACAAAATTTGAGTTCCAATCATCTTCTTGAGCACTCCCTTGTTAGATGACTTCAGTCCTTTCTTCCCCAACCTTCTGTGATTCAAAGTTCCTTGGTAATGGAACCTAGAGTCCCACTTCCTAAAATAAAGCA